CTGTGTGATCGCGTAGATAAAATCCGTTTCTGAGGTGGGCCAGAAGCAGACTAAATGGCCCCTCTGAACGCACCCTTGGAGTAAAAGTTTTTTCGGTATGTCTGAAAAATCCCGGATGCAAATACCATACCAGTATTGGGACTGGGGATTTTCCAGAAATACTAATTTTGGGGGATGGGGTCCAAAAATCCTGGGCAGAAAAATACCATTTTTTTAAAAAGGTAGCCAAACCCTGGGGCTGGCTTGGCTTCTCCTGCAATGCAGTTTAAACCATGCTGCAGGAGAAGCTGGCCCCAGGATCTGCTGCGCCATAGCTAGCAGATTGTTCCCTGCAGCATAGCAGCTTTTGGGGCTAGCTTCTCCTGCGGCCTGGACTACAAGAAAAGCCAGCCCCAAGCTGAACTGGTGGAAACAGTTTGCTCCCCATGGCACAGCTGATCCTCAGGCTGTCTTCTGCAGTCCTTTCAAACATTAAAGGGACCGCATTGTGGTAGAAATCCAACACATATCTATTCTTGACCAGGACTTGTGTCTTGCTGAGTAGAAGGTGTAGTCTTGTTTATGTGGATTTCTCACTTTCCAAGCATCCACACAATTATTTTCTTCTGCTAGTTGTAAAAATGTTGAGGGGAGTTCATTTCCTTGTTTCCATTTCCCTATAACCAATTTTCTATCTAGGGTTCTGTCAAACACCGCATTGTAGTCTCCAATCATGCAAAGTTCATTAAAATCTTGTTTTGAGATCAATTCCTGTGGATATTTGTAAAATTTGTCCTGGTGTTGATTTGGTACATAAATATTTATGAGAAGAGTTTTTTTGTGTTGTCTTTGTATTTGCACCAGTAAAATTTATCCATCTTCTGAAGTGTGGGTAATTTCTGGAAGTAAATGTTCTTTTACATAGGTCACAACACCTCTCTTCTTCTTCTCTCTGTCTGAAGAAATAAAAACTTTTCCCAATTTCTTGACTTGTAGATATTTTTGATCTGCAGCTTTAATGTGAGTCTCTTGGAGGCAGATAATATCCAAATTCATTTTTTTCTATTATTGAAACACCTGTCTTCTTCTTGAGGTGCATTTAGTCCATTCACATTTATTGAATGGACTAAATCTTCCTTCTATCCATCTTGTGTTTGTGTCTGTCTGTGATTCCATGTCCTGTTTGTCTCTCATTTGTCTCCTTGTTCATATCTGTGATGCTATGGACTTTGAAGGTTTTTTGGATGCTGCTGTTTTCTTGGTTGTAGTTAAAGTTGCTGAGGTTGTTTCTGAAGTGCCTTGGGAGTCTTGGTCTTCTTCTTCTGTAGTTTCTGAGTCTCTTTCTTCAGTTTGAAGGTCTGCTCCGTGTGTCTTGAGGAAGTTCTCTGCTTTAAAGGTTGAGTTGATTCTGAATCTTTTCCCTTTATAAGAAAAGAGTAGACCTTCTTGGAGCAGCCATCTATGAGTAATCTCAGTTCACCTCAGTGCTGCTGTAAGGTCCAAATATTCTTTCCTTTTTCCCCTTACTCTCCATTGGATTTCTTTTAAGATCTTTATTTTTGTATTTTCTGTATATAGAGGTGTTTCATTTGATGCTTTAAGAATTTAATCTCTTACTATTCTCTTATGGAATCTCACATGCACTTCTCTGGGAAGCTGATTTTTTCTAGCATACGCCGAGTTCATCCTAAAAGCAATATCAATTTCATCCAGGACCTTCTCTGTTTCCTCTATCCTCATATATTTCACCAAAATACGTGCCATCTTCTTCCTTAAGTCTTCCTCTTTCTCTTCTGGGATATTTTGAAATCTTAATATAAATTCTGCTTTATCTAATTCGAGTCTCATGAGATCTTGTTCAAATACAGTTTGCTTGGAATCCATTGTCTATAGTTTGATGTTGTTTTTTTTCTACCTTTTCCAGTTTAGAGGTTGTTTTATTTAATTCTTCAATTTTCTGGTTATTTTCTAAAGTTGTTTCTGCAGATCCTCCATTTTATTTGATAGTTGCTGGGACATATCTTTCATTGTATCCTTAATTGGGTCCACTGCCTCTGCAATTGCAGCCTTTATAGAGGTTGAAACAGTATCCTGAATAAGGGTCTTCAAATCTTTCATTGTGGCCTGTGATAGACTGGAGGCCACAGATTTACTTATACCTGGTGAGCTAGAGGGTACTTTGGTTGGAGGCCTATTTGTACCTGCCATTTTATACCACAAGACCAGAGAATCCCCCACAGTGCTAAAACAGGTTTTTTTCTAGATTTCCAAAATACATATTATTATTTATACAACATCCTAATATTAATAAGGTACTTCACGGCCATATAGTTCACCAACAGAAAGACCAAACATAAACCACAAAAATGTAACACAATATAGCAAGTGTATTATGAGAGAGAACTTCTTGGCAAGGACTCCTTTCTCCTCCTTATATGGAAAACATCACAAAGGGGAGCAAAACAAGAAGACAATGGAGGGGGAAAGGATCTGTTACTTATGAGTTAGGAATATTAAAGTGGAAACCAAAACAAAGCCAGTTTTAATATAAGTTAGCTTCTGTTTGATGGAGAACGATTTTCAAATTGCAGTTCCAGTGGGAGAGGTTTTAAATACACAATATATATATTTCATATATATATGAAAAAGGCTCAAAACTCCAAGCTCCTCCCATGAAGGGAAAAATAGAGTGCGTTGCAAGGTTTATCAAGGCAAAAGTACAGTAATCCATTTATTCAGGAGTGAAAGACGATTTAAGAGACATCAAAGTCTTTAGCCCTACATAAACCACAAAAATGTAACACAATATAGCAAGTGTATTATGAGAGAGAACTTCTTGGCAAGGACTCCTTTCTCCTCCTTATATGGAAAACATCACAAAGGGGAGCAAAACAAGAAGACAATGGAGGGGGAAAGGATCTGTTACTTATGAGTTAGAAATGTTATTGTGGAAACCAAAACAAAGCCAGTTTTAATATAAGTTAGCTTCTGTTTGATGGAGAACGATTTTCAAATTGCAGTTCCAGTGGGAGAGGTTTTAAATACACAATATATATATTTCATATATATATGAAAAAGGCTCAAAACTCCAAGCTCCTCCCATGAAGGGAAAAATAGAGTGCGTTGCAAGGTTTATCAAGGCAAAAGTACAGTAATCCATTTATTCAGGAGTGAAAGACGATTTAAGAGACATCAAAGTCTTTAGCCACAGGAAGTGGTGGGTGCTACAAGCATGGACGGCTTCAAAAGGGAATTAGATAAGCATATGGAGCAGAGGTCCATCAGTGGCTATTAGCCACAAGGTATAGCTACGGGCTCTGGGGCAAGTGATGCTCTGTCTTCTTGGTGCTTGGGGGGGTCAACAGTGGGAGGGCTTCTAATGTCCTGGCCCCACTGCTGGACCTCCTGATGGCACTGGTATTTCTGGCCACTGTGTGATGCAGAGTGTTGGGCTGGATGGGCCTTTGGCCTGATCCAACATTGGCGTCTCTTATGTTCTCTTATGTTCTTATGTTTAGCCCACGGGGGTAACACTTTTGCAATGTTTTTCTTGTCTGTTGCTAGCTGCGAAGAGAAGGAGGGTGGAGGGGAAGCCTCCCATTCCCCATCCTAGATTGTGTTTTTTTTAAATTTAAAGGGCGAAGTTGTTGAAAGGAAAGTCTGTAGTTTTATGTGTTAACAGTTACGGTGATATTCTTTAAGAAGAATTAGGCAGACTTCCACCACCATCCCTGGGTGGGAAGTTTCAGCTGAATACTCATGACTTCCATGAGCAGACTTTAAGTGCTTCTTGCTGGAGGCGATCCAGGGCTACCACCCGTGAGCTGCCACTGAATGGAGAGCCTGGATCAAGCCTCTTGCACTGCACTCCCCTCCTGGGCATTCGGGAGCCCCCGATACTCCTCTAGAGAAGCTCCAAAGCCAGCGGCACCAAGGAGAAAGTCCTGGTGCCATCCATGCCACTGCACTGCAACCCCACACTCCAGCAGACTGTGGGCAAAATCAACAAAAATTATTTCACCCGAAGTGATTTCACTAGGAATTGCCAGAATCTCTATGATGAAACCATGTAGTTTTTGGTGATTCCAAGACAGGTATGACATCATTTCTGGTAAAAACTGTGATTTCACTTTTGGGTTTCCCTGGAAGTGATGTCACACGGTTTTTGCCTGCTTCTATCACTATGTTCCCTGCCCAACTCCTTCTGGTAGCTATGCCTGGGAAATCTATGCAAATAAAATGGAAAAGAAACTGAGTCATGTTTTTGTTTCTCACAACACACAACAACCCTTTATTGGCATAACATTTTAGTTTCTCGATACTTGGGCTTGGGTAGCATAATTCAGAAAACCCTGATAAGCATAAATTAAGGGTGACTGATCCAAATTTGAAAACCTACTAAAATCAAAAGTGTTTAACCTTCTCTAGTATTATCTTTTTAATTGCAAACTAAGTTAGCTAATTAAAAAATGAAAGGATTCTTTTTTAAAAAGGAAATACTCTTTTCCCCATCTCCTTAACTCCTAGCAAGGATTTTTGAGCCAAGCATAAATAACTGAGAAAAGGTATTTTGTAGATAACATGATAGCCAGTTTCAATTCTTCATCTAGAATTTAGGTCACGGTCCTTGCATTACAGGTCTGCAGAGGTTAAACCATTTTCATTACCTCACTTGAAAAATAGCATGTGTTTCCCAATTAAGTTGTCAAATATTAAATCATAGACCTAGATCGTCATCATTTCATATGTTTGCCACTTTACCGGGAATTGTGAAAAGTTTAGCTTTTCAGTAGAAACAGTTTTAGTTTCATGGGTTTATAAATGTTTACAAGTGGTCTCTTATTCCTTTCAGCCTCCTGACTTCAATAGATAAAAACATAGTATTCAAAACTCAGGCCCCCACAGAAAGCCAAGAATCTGTCAAAACAATCTAAAGTGTTAGCTTAGCCTTTTGCAGCTTTTAAAACAAATCTTCTAAACAATAGGTCTTTTCCCTCCCCCTTGTCTTTTGTTACCTACAGGATTTTGGAGAAGATGATTCTCTCTACATCACCAAGGTAACAACTATTCACATGGGCAATTACACGTGTCATGCCTATGGCTATGAAGAACTGTATCAGACCCACATTCTTCAGGTGAATGGTTAGTAAATGGCACACATGACAACCCGCTGAAATGTTCCTGTGAGCAATGCTGCATGTTAATATTGTTCTCACAAAACAATGGATACCACAGCTTTTCACTGTTACTGCAGAAAGAAAAGAAATCTGTTTCACTGTCCATTTAGAAATGTGCAATGAAAAAGAAACTAAAGAAATATCGACCCAACAGATCTGTCAAAAATATTGGCTACTTTTATTTTGTCCACAGCAAATATAGTTTCTGAGTAAAAAAGACAGGTGCAATTTCTAATCCATGCATTTTCTATTTCTGTCAAATCTCAAACATTTCTTATGGACCAATTACTGCTTCCTATTGGTAGGGCTTGTCTTCCTGTCTAAAGGCAATCTATAGCAACAGAGGCTTCTTCCTCCCACAGCATCACTCTACCCCACTTCCTCAAACAGTAGGAAGTTCCAGGAAGATGCTTTTAGAGGCCTAGTTCCCTTGTGAAGGGCAAAGTACTATATATAACATGTAAATATATATCCAAATGTTGAGCAGGATGGAGGAGGCTTGAAGTGGCCTAATTTGTAGGAACTAGCTTAATTTAATGAGTATATCATTTTTCCCTGTGGATCAATATGAATGCAGCTGGATTTGTTGTGCATGTTTCATAGTAAAAACAAGAAAAATGTTATTTGTGTGATGAATGACTGGCAAGGAAAATCACAGAAAAATAGCGCACGTATATGTATTTTAGTGACACATTGGGTATAGTTAGGTGTCAGGTTGCAATGTAGGCTGTTCTCATCTCTGAGATTTAAAGGCCCCCAAAGGCTTTGATATTTAAACCCAGCTTCAAAGATGATCATATTGTAGACAGTAGTTCAAATTAGAGGCATACTACAGCCTGTCTTTTCTGATCCAAGAAGTTGGGAGAGGAGGTATGTTCTTTGTAGATGAAAGCAGAAGGAAGTAGGTTTTGTGATTTTTTTAAAAAAACCACCCTCTGTGAGGCATCTTCCTATCAAAAGGAAAGCTTCCCATTACAAATATTCTTCCTTGTTTGCCTTGTAATATGCCGGAACTGCCACTAATGGCAAGCAAACATGTCAATTGTGCGGACATCAATTTTGACAGAGTAATGCTGTAGTCTGTAGAAAATGTTCTGTATTATGTAGCAATGAGGGTTCCTGTGTTACCTCTCAAGGTTTCTCCCTGAAGGGCTTTGTTGCAACTCTTAATGTGCTTTTCTACTCTCCACCTTTCTCCTTTTTCACTTCAGTGACTACTTGTTGTGACAACTGATGTTAGGGCAATGGATCAAAGAATGATGGCCTAAAGAAGGCAGTGCTACCATCACAAAAGAGATTGTTCTCAGGAGTTTCTTGATTTTATGATTTAGTAGTTCAGGAACAAAGTCTTGAAGTTCCTCCTGGGATGAAGAGCAGATACCAGGCAAGGAAAGAGGTGGGATCCTAGCAAAGGAGTTGACTTCCCTCAAGCCATTTGTCTTGCATGTTTTACGCAAATAATCCAATCAATATAGACAGGGCTATTTTGGGGCAGGAACACACAGGAACGGAGTTCCGGCTGGCTCCTGAGTTGGCCACACCCAGCAGGAACTCATTAGTATAATAGGCCACACCCAACAGCAGAAACTCATTAGGATTGGCTACATTAGGGGTGTGTGGCCTAACATGCAAAGGAGTTCCTGCTACAAAAAAAGCTCTGGGTTTTGACAACAAGGTAAACAGAATAAGAAGCAAAAGGTGGGTGTGGCTGGATGACCACCCTTCTGGTAACATGGGGGGGTGGCCTAATATGCTAATATGCTGTGCTGTCAAGGGTGTGGCCTAATATGCTAATGAGTGTCTGCTGTTGGATGTGGCCTATTATGCTAATGAGTTTTGATGGGCTTTTCCTACAAAAAAAGCCCTGAATATAGATATCATTGAACCCATTGAATGCCATTTTAAAAATAACAAAATGTTCTGTTTGTGTCTGTTCTTCCATTTATGACTTGCCAGGTAATTCTAGACAGTGCTAAGGCCATTCTAAATCAATTTAAGATGGTGGGCTTAAGGGGGTGTAACTCTGTTCAGGCCTGCAGTGCTAATCTCCTCAGTGTATGAGAACCTAGATTCAAGTCTAGTAGCACACTAGAGACCAACAAGATTTTAGGGGTATAAAATTTCAGGGAGGCGACTTTCAAAAGCTTATACCTTGCAAATCTTGTTGATCTCTAAGGTGTTACTGGACTTTAATCTAGCTGTTCTATTGCAGACCAACACACCCGCTCTCTGAAACAATCTATATATGAGATCTACTATTCATACTTATCTGGGAATCTTCTTCAGATATTTGTATATCCAGTGGTTTTAATAGTCAAACCACCATACCTAACTATGAGTAAATACATATGGCAATTCCTTTTTCTTCTTCTGTCAAATCAAAGGCACCCATACAAGACAAGGTTACAACTGTCAGTAAATTCTTGAGTGAATGGTTCTTTTATCACAAAAAACTTGTACACTGTATCTTGTTCCTGTTTAGCCCATCATCTTGCACTTTATGCCCGATCTGTGTAGAACATAAGAACATAAGAGAAGATTCCCTCTTGAAGCTGTCCATGCTTGTAGCCACCACCACCTCCTGTGACAGTGAATTCCATGTGTTAATCACTCTTTGGGTGAAGAAGTACTTCCTTTTATCCATTCTAACCCGACCACTCAGCAATGTCATTGAGTGCCCATGTGTTCTTGTTTTGTGAGAAAGGGAGAAAAGTACTTCTTTCTCTACCTGCTCTATCCCATGCATAATCACTTTGCACTTGGCCATATTGAACCCCATTTGCCACGTTGACACCTACTCGCCCATCCTCGACAGATAACTGTTGGCCCCGTCCAAGCACCAAGAATACAGTGCATCACTTTCCCCAGACTGAGAGTTCCTATCTATACATTGTGGCTATAGCCACTGATGGACCTCTGCTCCATATGTTTATCTAATTCCCTCTTGAAGCTGTCCATGCTTGTAGCCACCACCACCTCCTGTGACAGTGAATTCCATGTGTTAATCACTCTTTGGGTGAAGAAGTACTTCCTTTTATCCATTCTAACCCGACCACTCAGCAATGTCATTGAGTGCCCATGTGTTCTTGTTTTGTGAGAAAGGGAGAAAAGTACTTCTTTCTCTACCTGCTCTATCCCATGCATAATCACTTTGCACTTGGCCATATTGAACCCCATTTGCCACGTTGACACCTACTCGCCCATCCTCGACAGATCCCTTTCGAGAGCCTCACAATCCTCCCTAGTTATCACCACCCTGAACAACAATTACATCTGCTTTCCAGATGGCAGAGATCAGTTCCCCTGGAGAAAATGGTGGGCTCTGTATCCTTATATGCTGCTGAGGTGGCCCCCATGACAGCCAATGTGACGTAGCAGTCAGGGCTTCAGAGCACGGGAGAGGCTGCAGGTGTGTGTGTGGGGGGTGGAAAGCTGAAGAGTGAGGGGGAAATAAAGGTCGGTTGATGATTGG